TTTTTTTATTCTTAGATTGTTTTGTTTTATTTCAGTCTTTGCTAGTCAGCATTTCAAAAAAGTTGGCTTTGTATTGAACATTATTCATATTGTTCAGATGATTCTCTTTTTTGTTGCTTCATAGCTTCTAACTATAACTATGACAACTAAAGACAACATACCATTCTTATTTATATTTGGGGACAATATTTTAAAGAAGGCCTTCAATAATGAAGAGATACTTACCTGCCCCAAAATACAGTCTTACCTACCATGTTTCCCCGAAAATACAACAGAGTCTTATATTTTTTGACCCATGAAATATGGCCTTGGGCTTATTAAAGGGGAGGGCTTATTATTTTTGGGTTGCTAGGCAGCTGCTCTCTTGTGACCGGGCTCCTGAAGAGCCGGGCACAGCCTCAGGGTCAGATGGCTGTGTTGCGCTATCGCAGCAGCAACACAGCAGCCATGAGGTGGCCATGATCGCGAGCAGCCGCCCGGCAATCCCCCTTTCCAGTCGGGCACAGAGCCACTGACCGATCTAGTGGTACCCAGAAGGCTCCAAGCAATGCGAGCGCCTGTTTGCCACCTTCTGCCTCCCACAGCTTGGCACCTTCGGAATGCCCCCTAGGTGAGTGAATGGGGTACTGCATGGCTGGAGAGGGGGGTTGTGCGAGCGGCTTTTCCGCTCCCTGCTCACGCGACTCGCAGGCTCACCATGTCCTTGGCTAACTCTACAGTACCTGCAGAGCCAGGGCATCTCTGCCGCTGGCACTGCCTGCCACTTGGGTTTTTTTCGGCTTTCAAAGCATGGAGGACGTATGCCACTCTGGAAGTTACGCTCTATGGTTGTACGCTCTGCAGCTCACAGCCTCAAAGCATACTCCGACAGCGCAACACAGCCATCTGACCCTGAGGCTGTGCCCGGCTCTTCGGGACCCCCCTCGCAAGGGAGCAGCCGCCTGGCAACCCACCCTCTTCAGCTGGGCACAGCACCGCTGACCAACCTAGCAATACCCCAAAAGCATCAAGCAACGCCAGCTCCTTTGCCCCCCCCCCAACATCTGCACAGCTTAGGTGAGAGGAAGGTTGATGTGCTCTGTAAACAATAATGTAAAAAAGGATTTCTGTATTACATGGTACATATTTATGTTAAGGTGACACTGAAAATTTCTCTTAGGGAAAGTTAAGGAATATGTAGTAATATAACAATAATAATAACAAATATAACATAAATACCTGGGAAGACACTGAAAAACGTAATAAAAAAACAGATCTGTGAACACCTGGAAACAAATAAAGTTATAACTAATAGCCAGCACACATTTGTTAAAAACAGACCATGCCAAACCAATATTATTTAATTATTTGACAGAGTGTCTAAATTAATAGACAAGCAAAATGCTGTAGACATAGTATACTTAGACTTCAACAAAATAGACCACAACCTACTACTTAGTAAATATGGGATAGACAGCATCACCACCAGCTGATTTGTAACTGGCTAACACAAAGGGTTGGACTAGAAGACCTCCAAGGTCCCTTCCAGCTCTAGAATTGCATCATATTACTTAAGAAATATATAGTTAGATAAACTGCATTTTAAAAAATCCATATTTTTTTCAGGATTGACTTATCAAAGAACTTCACCGGGCTTTGCATTCTATTTTCAGACACCAGAATAAAACTTCCATGTTGTCTTATGGGTTGTGAATTTTGGCCATTCTGACCATAGTGTCCACATGTTTTATTATTTCACTATTTCTTATATTTATCAGTTACTACAGTTTCTTCACATGGTTCATATACACACGTATATCTGTCTCTTTTGGAAGTGATTAATATTATATAGAGCACAGATATGCATTCACAGATATCTATATTGCTTATATATTCTCCAAAGCACCTGAAGGTAGAACAAGAAGCAATGGGTGGAAACTAATCAAGGAGAGAAACAGTTTAGAACTAACAAGAAATTTCCTGACAGTTAGAACAATTAATCAGTGGAACAACTTTCCTCCAGAAGTTGTGAATGCCCCATTTTTTTTAGTTTTTAGATGTTGGATAACCATTTGTCTGAAATGGTATAGGGCAGCGATGGCGAACCTTTTTTGGCTTGTGTACCATAACTGGGGGGAGTGCAGGGGGGTTGTGCACAGGCTCTGGAGGACTAAAAACAATCCTATCAGCAAACCGAAAGTGACTTCCGGTTTCCTCGTAGGGTTGGTTTAAGCCCTCCGGAAGATCCCTGAAGCCTCTGGAGGGCCTAAACTGATCCTACGAGCAAACTGGAAGTCACTTCCTGAACTTCTGGTTTGCCAATAAGGCCATTTTTTTGCGCTCTGGAGGCTTCAGAGAAGCTCTGGAAGCTTCCGGAAGGCCTGCAGGGGGGCGGGAGGGCTCTTTTCACCCTCACCAGGCTCCTATAAAGCCTCTGGAACCTGTGGAGGGTGAAAAATGGCTTTAAAAAAGGCTGAACTGCATGTGCGCTGGCCAGCTGACAGGGCAACACCTCACGTGCCCTGACAAATGGCTCTGTGTGCCACCTGTGGCACATGTGCCACAGGTTCACCATCCCGGGTAAAGGGTTTCCTCTCTAGGCAGCGGGTTGGACTAGAAGACATCCAAGGTTCCTTCCAACTCTTGTTATTCTGTTCTATCTAGAAATAATTAAGATTCCATCTTCAGTAAAAGGAGAAAATTCATAGATTTTTTTAAAATGAAAAATAAGACTTTCATGTGTACAGTGGCAACTCAAGAACACGTCAGGAATCCTTCGGCAGTTGACATACAGACTTACTAAACATGTGTTTTTTAATGATGAGTAGAAGAAGACTGCCATTAATTTTGTTTGTTATTTCTTGTAACCTGGGTTTCATGTGAAGCATAATACATTTTCTATTTCAGGTATACTAAACCACTTACCTTTGCTGACTGCATATGTGATGAATTGCCATTAGGATGGGAAGAAGCCTATGATCCTCAGGTTGGAAGCTATTACATTGACCATAACACCAGTAAGTGTAACATGATTTTATATTTAATGCATTGATATATAGCACTCATTAGTGCCTGAAAATACATTGAAAATTATAAAGAAGAAATGCTTCAGAACATGAAGGGGAACAAACATTTTAAAGCAGATGGACATTTTTTCAAAGTTCTGCACAAACTTTAAAAATGATGTAATCAGTTGGATATGAGTTTTATTATTTATCCTATGAAATGTGGTTTTTTACTACGGTTGTCTACTGTTTTTAAAAAGTCTGATAAAATGTAGCTTCTTTATTGGATCATTATGCAAAATTCAAAATAATTATGGAATGATATTAAAGATTTACTTAGGTGGGATATTTTATTTAAATGTTAATTGGTCTAATTTTAAAATATTTTATGACATGCAGTGTGATCTGCCTTAGAATAGCTTTGGTTTTTAAATGCTGATTTTTACACACACACACACACAGACACAGACACACACACACACACACACGAGTAATCCAGCGTGCAGTTCTTTTCCAGTGTGAAAAAAATATGAAGAGCACAGAAAAAGAAAAAGAAGTAATAAAAAGTAATAAGGCAAAGAAATTAACTTCATGGAATAAGAAAAAGAAAATAGAAAATTCAATTTAGGTTAAGACCATTCACTGTCACTCATATCCTTCTATCCTTGTAAACCATTCTAGGTTCCATTATATCCGTATATACCGCACCATGCATTTTTTCTAGTTCTTTAAACTTCTCACCTCTTAAGAGTTTTTTCACATGCATCCAGTCAAAACTTCCTCAGACTTTTCCTTTTTCCCAACCTATTTGTTCTGCCTTAATATATTTTTTGGGACTGAATCCTCATTCCTCCTGTCCATATAACCAAA